TATATATTTTTAACAATATTTTGGAAGAAATATATAGTGAAAAGAAGTTTCGAAAACTAATTTACATAAACGAAGATATATATATATATTAAACACATAATTTAGACCAGCATTTTCCTAAGCCGCTAGTCGTAAAAGGCCGGAGGAGGTGCGAGATGTGTGCCTGTGACAGCGAAATAGTTAAAGCGGCGCGAGTACTCCAGACGACGATAATCGGCTGAGACAACGCAGGCGAGGCTCAACGCTCGCGCCGTCAACTAGCGCTTCCAGTGATGCATTTAATTAACGCTGTGCACACGCTGTGTGCACGCCGCGAATGACGGAATCGAATATTTGTGCATAGCAAAACCGCGATCTCGGCGCCAGTCTTCAGGGCCGTGCCTGCACCCCGTCGCTCTCTCCGAGAACGCGCGTGCTGATCTTTTTTATTTATTTATTCTTAAACGTTCCCTCCCGTCGCCATCAATTTCGTTTATCCACATTCGCGCGCACATGGTGTCGTTGATGATTTGGAAAATCATAGTCCCATTGATAAGACGATACTCTCGCTACGGTAAATTCGCGGCCGATGGTAATTGACGATAATTAGACACAGTTGGATTAAATCCTATTAACGAAATGAAATAATATTTCGCGAACACAGCGTGATTATAAAAAAGAGAAAATTAATAAGGAACGGTGCAACGAGCTTGGAAGATTTTTCGTAGAAGTTGTTACTTACGCTTTTGATATCGTCCTACGGTTAATCCGGAAATCCACCGAGGGATGTCGGATTTAATGAACTTGCCGCTTTAATGAACTCGAAGGAAAGCAGCACTAGCGCGCGCGCGCGCGAGGGATGATCTGATTTCGCGTTTTACGAGAGGGAAACGGCTTTTAAACGCGCGTGTTGTGTATCGCACGCGCGACCAACGATCGCGTCGGCGCGGTTTTTCCGCCCGTGTGCGCGATTATTGGCATCAGTGCCGCTTAATTTATAGTAATTGGTAGCGTTTAATCGCTTACACGCGAGTCATCAACGTTCTGAGCTTTATACACACGTGGAGGTGTAACGACGTACAATTACACTTATACTTTTTCGCCAAGCAAAAATTCGCGTCACGTGCGGCCAACGCGTCTTCGAGGTTGCGACTTCGATATATATATATATGTATATATATATATATTGACAGTACCGCAAATTGCATCTGTCTACGCCTGGAAAGGCTTGATTGAGAATGACGACGTAATCAATTCGATCCTCTATATAAATTTTATTTTCTTAAAGTTCATCATCTTCTGTCATATATATTTCCATTTAACTATTTAATACGGTATATACAGTGTTACATATATTAGGTCTACCGGAAAGTTCTGTCCGTTTTTGGAATAAAACAAAATACAAATTTTTCTTAATTTTTTCAAAAATGCACCGAAAAAATTGTATTCTTGTTTTGAGGATATCCCACTTACTTTAAGTATATTTTATACTGAAATAGGCGCCAAGAAGAGTTTCTTATTTTAAGAGAAAAATCCTCTAAATAGTAATATTGATAAGAATATATACTGATTAGAATATAAAAAGCCTCTATAGAAAAACATATATATCTCACTATCGAAAAAGAATATATTCTTAATTTCAGAAGACTTATCATCTAAAATCTTTAAGAAGATTTTTTAAGTATAAAATCTTCTACTTACGAGAATATAATTTTTTTGGTGTACTAAAACAGAGAATCAAATTTATTTTAAGAAATACACTTATATGTAACAAATATCGATTGTTACTTTCTCTTGCTGTAAACACATATTAACAATATAATAAAAGAAGTCGCGCAATGTCAGCTGTTACACCGAAAAAATTGTATTCTTGTTTTGAGGATATATATATCCCACTTACTTTAAGTATATTTTATACTAAAATAGGCGCCAAGAAGAGTTTCTTATTTTAAGAGGAAAATCCTCTAAATAGTAATATTGATAAAAATATATACGGATTAGAATATAAAAAGCCTCTATAGAAAAACATATATATCTCACTATCGAAAAAGNAGAAAAACATATATATCTCACTATCGAAAAAGACTATATTCTTAAATAAAGAATATATTCTTAATTTCAGAAGAATATCATCTAAAATCTTGAAGAAGATTTTTTAAGTATAAAATCTTCTACTTACAAGAATATAATTTTTTCGGTGTTGGATATACAAATTGCCCTCACGCTGGCAAGAAATCATTTAATATAACAATGGCAATTATATTATTTAATAAATATTTATTGACGGTTGAGAAAAATTTTTATTTTGTTTTATTCCAAAAACGGACAGAACTTTCCGTTAGACCTAATATTTTATACGTGTAAATTAATCAAAGAACTTTATATATATACGTACTTTATAGATATTATATATTACGTATTCCGAGGCGTGGATAAAAAAAATATGACGACTTATTGTCATTTGCGAGCTGTGTGTCGTTCTTGGAATCTTTTGATTGACAGTTGTGACGAAGCATTAAAAATGTGTTTAATTATTCAAATCTCGTGGGATTTAAAAAATTATAGACGTCTTGCGACGAGGAATACGAGATCGCGCGAGAGGTGCGCGTATTAATCGCAGAGCAAAAAAAAAAAAAAAAAAAAAAAACTGTCGAGCTTCGCGCGTTGATTTATTCGAGAGGTTTTTCAAACCTCAAGATTTCTCTTTGCGCGCATCGAACTCGTTCGACGAATATATCGAATAGTCGTCCGGCGGCTGGTCTCTGTCCGTATGCGTTCACGTATATAAAATTCACATGCCTACATTCCCCCGTCTGTAGATCGTTTTAATTCCGACTTTTTCGTTCTTCTCTCTCTCTCTCTCTCTCTTTCTTTCTTTCTCGGTCGCTCGTCCTTCTGGACAAGAACGAGAAGATACGGTCATGAAGAAACAAGACGTCGCCGTCGCGGCCGTAAAAATAAATTTCACTCCTCTTCCTCCTCCTCCTCCTCCTCCTCCTATTCCTCTTTTTTCCCCTTCTCTCTCCGGCTCGCTCTCGGCGCCCTCTCGTCGTAACTCTCGTTCTCTCTCTTATCATAATGCACGCGTACATGCGTCTTTGATTGTACAAGTGGCGCGTGTGCGGCGGCGTTCACGAGACACAGAGCGCGAGAAGGAAAAAGAAATCATGCTCGAAGAATGATTGCGCGTGTATCCTTGTGCAAAAATAAAGTCAAAGGTTCGTTAGTTGTATAAAAATACAAAAAAAAAATAGAGGAAACGAGAGTGAGGATTGTGAAGAGAAAGAGAGAGAGAGAGAGAGAGAGAAAAAAAAAGATAAAGAGAAAGGGACAAACGAACGGCGGCGAAGCAGAGAGCAGGAAGCGTCGCGAAAATCTACCGGAGAGAGACCGCGCGCGAGGAAATTCCTCCTCTTCTCGAGCATTCCTCGAGCGACTGCGGCGTTACGCAATTGCCACTCGTTGCTTTGTCCTCCGCCGAATTTCGCGGCCGAGCGCGCGACGCCTCGGCGATCAAGTGAAGTAGAGAGAAGTCTCTCCCAGTGTGCTGCTTGCTCGCTTGTGTGTTGCGAATTGGTACCCATCCTTGTGTGCGATCGATCGCCGCAGCTCTCTCTCTCTCTCTCGTTGAGCTTTGCTTCGCGACCTCAACGCTTCAAAATCTGGATGAAGTAAACTAAGGCAAGGATTAAAGGATGACTTAAGATATTTAATTAAATAGACAGGAAATAACTCGTTATACGTATATATCACTCACGCAGAGATAAAAGTACACCGAGATAAGTCGTTTTTTTTTTCTCTGAGATCATTTGATCCAATTCTTTTATTTGAAAAAGAAATAATTTACGAGGGAAATTAAATAATTGCGGTATATTCGTTTTGTTTTATCGATAACATTTTTAAATTGTTAATAATATTCAACGGAAGAGAGAGATGATCTATGTTTGTTGAAGTTATGTACTGGCAATTATACGACGCAATTATTTTAACTACATATCGTGTACACAATAAAATTGTATTTTTTTTTTAATGATAAAAAATCACGATATCAAAGGTCAAAGAGAAAGAGAGAGAGAGAGAGAAGAAATCAGAGATCAGATAAAATCGAGACTAAATCTTTCCAGATGAGATCCTTGATCTCAATTTTTATCGTATCTATTCAACACGCTTCTCATCTTTTCTTGAGACTTATGTAAAAACGCGTTCTCGACGAAGGATTATTACAAATAAAAAAAAGCGCGATTATATGAATATTCATTTTTTAATTAACATATATGTTCGAACTCACCTCTAAACTCGTAGTTTTAATCGTCTTTTAATTAAGTCGCGCTTGGAGAAGTGATTGATGCGTGTGTGCTTGCGCCTACATCGCGCGATTCAAAATTGTTGTTATATATATATAGTTACGTGGAGTTCTGAACAAAAAGGAAGAAAAACTATCCGATGTGTTGTTCGTCACAATGTAAGTCTGTTTTTGTTGCATTTTCGCAGTGTTCGGTCTCGCTCTGTGCTCGCAGTTCGACATCTCCGCTCACGAGGCGCCGATTCTGGTTGAGCGATGCGCTCGCATGCTCGAGAGCTTGGCGTTCGCCGACACGACGTTGGACCTGTATAAAGTTTACCACAGCAGCCCGACTAATGAGCAGACCCTCGAGTTGCGACAAAAGCTGAACGAAGGTAAGACGAAACGTGCCGCAAACGGCGAAACCGCGCGCGCGGGCCGGCTCGGCTCGGTTCGCTCGCTCGCTCGCTCGCTCGCTCGCCGGCCGGCCACATCGCACGATCGCGCGCGCTATAAATAGCCGGCAGTCATTCCACAATGTTCGGCTCCGCGCGTTGCAAAAATGTCGAGGCGTGCCACCAGATGCACTCGCGCGTATATGCTACATTGTGGATACGAAACAACACAGGAAACAAAAAGAGGCGGACGCTTATTTTGCACGACGGCGATCCCGAGGACGATCAGGGACAACGAACGAGCGAACTCGCGAGTTTGGTCGGAATCTTTATGGGATTTAAGAGACAAAGACTGGCGCGCGCGCGCGCACACACACACACATACACACACACATTCTCTATTTGGCGTTTACCGCTAAATGATCAAATAATAAAATTGACAAAAAGGTGGGTCTTCGTGTCGCCAAACAAAAAACTACACCGAAAAAATTGTATTCTTGTTTTGAGGAGATATCCCACTTACTTTAAGTATATTTTATGCTAAAGTAGGCGCCAAGAAGAGTTTCTTATTTTAAGAGGAAAATCCTCTAAATAGTAATATTGATAAGAATATATACCGATTAGAATATAAAAAGCCTCTATGGAAAAACATATATATATCTCACTATCGAAAAAGACTATATTCTTAAATAAAGAATATATTCTTAATTTCAGAGAAGAATATCATCTAAAATCTTTAAGAAGATTTTTTAAGTATAAAATCTTCTACTTACGAGAATAGAATTTTTTCGGTGTACTAAAACAAAGAATCAAATCAAATTTATTTTAAGAAATACACTTATATGTAACAAATATCGATTGTTAATTTCTCTTGCTGTAAACACATATTAACAATATAATAAAAAAAGTCGCGCAATGTCAGCTGTTACACCGAAAAAATTGTATTCTTGTTTTGAGGAGATATATCCCACTTACTTTAAGTATGTTTTATACTAAAATAGGCGCCAAGAAGAGTTTCTTATTTTAAGAGGAAAATCCTCTAAATAGTAATATTGATAAGAATATATACCGATTAGAATATAAAAAAAGCCTCTATGGAAAAACATATATCTCACTATCAAAAAAGTCTATATTCTTAACTTAAGAATATATTCTTAAATAAAGAATATATTCTTAATTTCAGAAGAATATAATCTAAAATCTTGAAGAAGATTTTTTAAGTATAAAATCTTCTACTTACAAAAATATAATTTTTTCGGTGTATATATATATATATGTACACCGAAAAAATTGTATTCTTGTTTTGAGGAGATATATCCCACTTACTTTAAGTATGTTTTATACTAAAATAGGCGCCAAGAAGAGTTTCTTATTTTAAGAGGAAAATCCTCTAAATAGTAATATTGATAAGAATATATACCGATTAGAATATAAAAAAAGCCTCTATAGAAAAACATATATATATCTCACTATCGAAAAGAAGATGAAAAGACTATATTCTTAAATAAAGAATATATTCTTAATTTCAGAGAGAAGAATATCATCTAAAATCTTTAAGAAGATTTTTTAAGTATAAAATCTACTTACGAGAGAATATAATTTTTTCGGTGTGGATAATATCTATTTCTATAACCGGAAATAGTTCAATATAAAACTAAATCGTGTTGCAAAATTATATATCACAATATCTCGATAATCACTTTAATACGTAATATTGTGATATAATCAAAAAGTGTCAATAAAATTCGAGGATATAATTATAGTACCGGTCTCATCGCATGTGTGTGAAATAATATTTTCAGACGTCTGCAATGCGGATTTAACTTCATACAGTCCACAATGCATCGCGAGCGTTCTAAAGAAGTTCCTACGAGAATTGCCGGACCCAGTGATCCCGGTGCAGATGTACGATAGGTTTTTGGAAGCGTCAAGTGAGTATTGTGTAATGTAAGGTGGTACGTGCGCAAATAATCTCTAATGTAATATTATAAGCAGATTTTAACACGCAAAGCATTATTTATAATTTTAACGCATATGCATTGTTGAAGAATTGAAGCTTCTTTCTGTGGAAAAGAAAAAAGTAATAGATATAAAATCTTTTTCTCGAAATAGCCAGATCTGAGATAATTTTATAATTTAAAAAAAAAAAAAAAAAAAAAACGTTTGAAAATTTGTTTCTCTCAAGCAGGTATGAAAAATAATGAACAGTGCGCGACGTGCCTCAATCAATTGGTGTCAGAGCTGCCGGAGCATCATCGTAGCACATTGCGCTATTTGATGGCGCATTTTTGTCGTATCTGCCAGATGCAGCACGGAAGGGGTTACTCGGAACCACCAACTATCCTTGTGCAAGCGCTCTGCCACGTAATTCTCAGGCCACCTTGGGAGCGAATCATGTGAGTGCCATATGAATTCATTTGTAAGGGAAGGGTTGACAAGTTGAGTGTGTTTCACACGGATGCTTTTTTGCCGGCACAACTGACACACCACTACTGCGCTAGTGGTATGATAAAAAAGCATTACGTATTCAAGGATGCTATTTAGCGGTTTGCTCTCTTTCCACTTCACTGATTATCAGGCCTAATTAAATTAAAAGAGTTTTTAACTTTCTAAAGCTCTTATACGTTGTGTCATTTAGTTTTCTCGTAAAAAAAAAAAGCAGCATATAGATTTATTAGTAACTAGTTATTTTCACAGGATGTGATGCTATATACAATATTACTTAAATATCGAGAAAAACCGACTGATTTTGCAAGTAAATTGCTCTTGATTATAAGTTATTTTATAATTGCTCGTTAAACTTTTTTAGCGTTGTGTATGTTTAATTACCGTAAAATACAGCACGTTGGATTGCTGATTTTCTAGCCAAGTTTTCCACAACACGGAGGCGCACATACGCATAATGGAACTGCTGTTGCTACACGGGGATTGGAGTGTAAAACTGCCAGAATTTGCCAGCCCGCCTCAATTGCCCCCGCGCAAAGTTTCGAGACCGCAGTTTCCGATTTTGGACCCGTTCCCGGGTCTTGAGGATGAAACTGTAGACAGAACGGCACCTGGCGCAGATGCTGGCAAGGAACAACAACCACACAGGTGATTCTAAATTCTGATTTCAGTCCAAATTTTAACACAAGTTGCAAATTTGCTTTTAGTTCCAACCCCAGATTTGATTCCCTCTTTAATTCTAATCTCTCTCTCTCTCTATCTATCTCTTTTACTAAGTTTAATTCTTACGCTATGTTTAATTTTAGTCTTGCTTTTCTATTTTCATCAACACATTTATTTGAATAATTTGCAATTACCTAACGCGGGGTGATAATAATTTGTAATTTCGGTGAAAAAAAAAAAATCAGGCCGCGCACACTTCAAGATGCGGAGTGGTATTGGGGCGATATTACGAGAGACGAGGTAAACGAGATGATGATTGATTCCCGGGACGGCACTTTCTTAGTACGCAACGCGTCTTCCAAGGGTGGCGAGTACACCTTAACGTTGCGCAAAGGCGGGACCAACAAATTAATCAAGATCAGCCATCGTAATGGGAAATACGGATTTTCGGATCCTTACAGCTTCCATTCGGTCGTCGAGCTGGTCGACTATTACAGAAACTGCTCACTTGCTCAGTACAACTCCGTATTAGACATCAAACTACTTTATCCGGTATCACGATTTCAGCAGGTAAGTGTGTAAATTTCTATTTTCTGATTAAAAATTTTGAAACAAAAAGTTGTAACATTTTTACCTATATGTTTTTTGCTCTTTTACATTCATTTTGCTCTTTTCTATTGAAAAAATAGGATGACGAGATCGGGAATACAAATGATACGACAAAGATTCTGCAGAGGTTCACCGAGCTCGAGAAAGAAATAAGCGATAATATTCGGCACTATCAAGAATATTCAGATATGTACAGTCAAACGGCCTTCGAAGTTCAGAAAAAACGTCAATCTATAGAAGCATACTCGGAGGTCATCAAGATGATCGATGAACAGATGAAATTGCGAGAGAAGTTTCAGAAGGAAGCTCAGCCCCATGAAATTTCCACGTGAGTATCTTATTTTTCTTCTGGTTCTTCAAGAAGTGAGATTGAGAGAGTGTGTGTGTGTGTGTGTGTGTGTATTAATCGATATTTCACTTCATGTACACAGTTTGATGGAGAACGCAGAGATGTTAAAGAGAATACAAAAAAACGTAGAAGATTACAAAGAGACATTGGGCGAGGAACTGAAACAACAGATCGCCTATTATAGGACTCTCGAGAGGGAAATGTACAGACTGAAGTCGGATATTGGGCAACAAGTACGGCAAAAGGACCGTCATTCTCTGTATGTGTTTTTTTTTTTTTCAACATTCATGTTAGAATCTTATTATTTTATTCAGGAATTCGTTTCTTAATTCGCGTTTCGACTGTTTTACAGATGGTTAAAAAAGAATGGTATGAAACAGAACAAAGAAGAGCTGGACTTCGCGGTCCATTGCGACGAGAGTACGTGGCTCAACCTACAAGGTTCTCGTAATGATGCCGATAACTATCTGAATGGCCGGCCGGATGGTACTTTCCTCGTCCGTCGGTCAAGGACGGGCCAGTACGCGCTCTCTATAGTGTAAGCATCTTTCTCTAACGTGCCATACTTTCAAAGTGATAAGAATAAAATTCGAAATAAACGATCACGGATAATTTTATAAGCTGTATGACAATGTTTGTATATGACAGTTTGTGTTATTCACATATATATATATACAGGTGCAATGGCACGGTGCAGCACTGCATAATATACGCGACTGAGCGCGGCTACGGGTTTGCGGAACCGTACAACATCCACGAGAGCTTGAAGCATCTGGTATTGCATTACGCTCAAAATTCCTTAGAAGAACACAACGAGTGCCTGACCACCACCTTGGCCTATCCCGCGTTCGCGTCGTCCGCGGCGCTCGCGCAACTGCAGCAGAGGCAGAAGCAGCTCCTCGCTCAAAATCAAACGCCATGCATACGATCAACCCAGGATAATCAGCTCGATATGCCGCACACGTAATATTGGTATAACGAGCGTCGCGATCCGACCGAGTGCGAGTATGTTCACGCACGTATCTGAATCCTGCTGCAAATACGCCATTTGTGTTGACGTGATCGACCGATCGATCATGTTACGTGAGCCTTTCTTAACGCGTTCAAAACACTGTTTTGCTTCACGAGAGATAGAGAATGCTTCGTCATTTATTCGGGAACGTTTCTCGAAATCGGGTACCGTTAATTATAAGCATTATGTCGCGCGAATAGACATTGTGAAACAATGTAATTTACCGTTGGTTACTTGAGGTTACTTACTTGAGGATCGAACAATAAAGTAAGTCGCGAGGTTTTCCAAAAAAGCACTCCGACAAAACTTGTAATAGCAGTATATAACAATGTATAAATGACGCTGAGTAATAATACTAATAGTAACGATAAGAGTTGCAAGAGGTTTTAGCGATAGAATTTAGGCATGTAGATATATATATATATATTATATACAGGGTGTCTCATGAAGATCGTAGGCAGGTAGAGGGGATCATTCTGAGTCGAAAAGTCCTGAACCATTTTTTTCTATTACATATAATAAAGGAGTAATAATAATTATTGAACAAATCAAGCCAATTAGCGCTGACCTTTAGTCAGGCTCACGTCAATGAGCCGCGCGGAGCGCTCACGCACACCAGGCCTGGTTCACTGACGTGCGTTCGGCTAAAGATCGGCGCTGATTGGCTTGATTTATTCAATAAATTACTCCTTTATTATATGTAATAGAAAAAAATGGTTCAGGACTTTTCGACTCCTTCTACAAGCCTGCCTACAAGCGGTGATACGGTCTTCATGAGACACTCTGTATATATATATATATATATATATATATATCTACATATATATATATATATATATGTGCGTGTGTGTATGTGTACATATATATATAAGCGCTACCGTGGTAGTACGGTAACGATCGCTTTGAACTCAGAGGTTCTCAAGTATCGTGACCTTTGGAAAGGGCTCGCGACGAATACAACGAATTACAAAAAACTCTATAGTAATTTTTTGAAAAAAAACCTTTGCGTGTGTGTTTATTTTTCTCGCATGTTAAAAACGTGATAAAAACATTTCTAAAATTAGTAGTATTTATACACCAGTAGTATTTATAATATATATTTATATTGTTTAAAAATGTAGTCTTCTTTGTTGTGTTTTTTTTTTTATTTATTTTGTTTTTTTTATTTGGTCCATTTCCAACACGCGCGACGAGTAATAATTTAAGAGGAAATTTCACACTCGCGTTGTTGTTCTTGTCTTTTTATTGTTATTTCGGTAGAGAAAACACATCACAAATCTTGAGAACAAAAAAAAAAAATAATAATAATAATAATAAAAAAACTGTTATAGACCACGATTTGGGAACCTCTGAACTAAACAGGACCAACAATACCAAGGGACAGAGATGTCACTGATATTTCCCTCAGGGTTCACACCGAAAATCCTGTCAAAATAGTCTGCGTCGAGACTACGGCGGGATTGGTGGTGCAACTATGAGGAACGCCACCGATTTCCTCGATCGCGTTCTGCAGCGAATCGTAATGCAGTTTCGACAGTGAGAGCTTTTTTTATACATTTAAGATTTCGAACACTGCGCAAAGCAGATTTGTGAAAAAAAAAAAAAGAAAAAACAAAAAGAAAACCTATACATTACTGTGTCTGTGATTTCGGATTATCTGTGAGCGGGGGAGGAGAGTTTATATCTCGCGTTTGTCGTTTCCGATTAATTGCCCTTAAGTTTCTCGTCTTTGTTTCTTTTCTTTTTTTTTTTTCTTTTTTTTTTTCACATTCGTTCCTTCCTTTTCCTGTCGAACTTACGTGAGCTTTTTTTTTTTTATCGCCGAAAATTCAAAACGCATTCTCACGCATTAAGTCGGTCTTTCTCGCCTCGGTCGGGAATTTAAGTCTTGGTCTGGACGATCTCAAAGGTAGCGATAATAACGAGAGCACAGCAGGTGTAATAAAAAATTTTAAAAAAAGCAAAAGAATATATTATAAGATTTTCCGCGCGCAAAGGAAAACGAACGAAAGAAAAGCAAATTTATTTACGTGAAACGCAATTGAACGATGATGAGTCTTTATGGATTTTTTTATCTTGAATAATGGAAAAAAAAGAAAAGTTTCTGCCCTCCGCGCAGAACGAAACGAAACTGTCGCATCTCAATGACAAAAATGATAACGTACAAGAAAGTAGTTTGCTTCTCTCTCTGCGCCGTGTTCTTTGTCGTTCTCTTGTGCGTCACCAGAGTATTGCAATTAATCGCAATATACGAATGAAATTATATTTCTTTTTTTTTATTTCTTTGTTCTTATTTTTTTTTTTTTTATTTCTTTGTTACATTTTTAATCTGAACTCACACAAACGGTACAAAGTAATAAGATAAGAGAAGAACCGTGCGACTGCGTTTCCTGAGAAATCTCGCGTTTACAGAGCGGTCGGTAAACGACGAGAGTGTATCTGGAAAACGCGTTTTTCGCGTTTTTTTTAACGAGATCGGTAGTTCTCTTTCAGAGATTTCTCTCACGCTGCCGAATTAAAGGAAATACTACTGGACACAAACGTGTTTGATATTTACAAGAATGGCAGACAAATCGATGATTGCGGAGTATCAAAATTTTAATCACACAGAGCGAGTGAACTTAATCGCATTGATCTTTCTCTTTCGAACGTTTTGATTCTTCTCAATCCCAATTTAATCTACCATTCGCGTATTTAAACGTGAGTTTGCGTTAGATTGACGATGAAGGGTGGTAAAAATCGAGTTCAACTTTCTTCTATCGAAGTCAATCGCATCTCATCAGGCTTAGGTATTTTTATCACGTTTTTTCTATGACAACTAGTTTTTCGGACTCGTTGCGTGATGGATGCGAGAAAGATCGACGACTCCCGTTTTTTTTTCATTCTAATGGAAAAACGCGCGGAATGGCCGCGCTCGAAGGTCGCGTGAGAGACAAATCTAAGAAAGGACGAGAGATCCGCAACCGAAAGTGTTACGAGTAGAGAAAACGTTGTCTGCGAACAAAAGACCTCGTTGCTCATGTCGAATGCTTCGAATTACGTAGGCTTAAGTAGTTTAAGACTTTTTACTTAATAAGAAAAAAAAAAAAAAA